ACAGACTGTATAACGAGAAGTGAAGTGTCAGAAGGCTTACCTAAGACCTTGCTGTAGTAGGTATCCCAATGTCCCCAGTAGCTCTGGAAAACATAGTCTTGCAGGTGGTAAGACACAAAGTTTTTTACTCTCTCCCCAAAAGACATGCGGTCAGTGAGCTCAGACAGGGATGCGGGCGTGTAGGATGGTGGGGCAGGGATCTTGCCACAGTGCCTTTCCAGAGTGAAGGCTGGGGAGAACCGTAGCGAGTAGACAAAGGGAATGCCCAGCTTGAGCGCCAGGAGCTCCCCACAGGGGGTCACAGCGTCTGACAGCAGCAGGTCAAAGCCAGAGCCCTGCAGACGAGCCATCAGCTCTTGGTTGTTCAGCACTGCGTCGCACATCATCTTGTTCATCTCCCGCCAGCCTATGGACAGTCTTCCCAGCTCCTTGTAAAACCGCCAGAAGGTCAAGATGGTTGGCCTGTGGTTGAGCCATAGGTCCACTATACCATTAAGCAGGGTCTCAGGTAAATCTTTCTCGTAGGGCACGTTATAGATCTCAAACTTCTCCGTGGTCTTGGGTCTGGGTTCAATGAAGAGGCTAGCGTTGGCTACCAGGATGGTAAAGCTGTGCCCACGGCGGATGAGCTCCTGTACCATTACATTCATGTTCAGCCAGTGGCTGCCTTCTGTTGGCCAAACCAGTACCTTCCCACAGAAGACAGGCCCTAGAAGAGCAACCTGAAAAAGCAGCAGCTGGAGGTATTTCTTTGAGCCGGTTGTTTTCATGGCCATGGCAGAGTCAGGGGCTAGATAGTCTGGGAATTTTCCCTTCCAGTTGGGAGTTCTGCACCTCTATGTTGTGTTTGATGGCTCCTTACTAGCACTCTTAGCAGAAGAGAGACTTTGCTGTTGCACAGGTAGTGCCTTTATAACCTGTGTTTTGTCTGAGCTCTGAAAAAAAAAAAGTTTGATGATTCATTTTTCCCTTTCTGCCTTCTACCCTGTTAGCTTCCCACTGAGGGAGTTCTATTCTCCTGTTAGGAGGATGATAGCAATCCTCCCTGCTGTCAAAGAAGCCAGTCCCCTGGATGCCAGCCCTGAGACTCAAACAATTCCCTTGCACTTTTTCCATGAACTAGCAATGCCAGAGGCAGGCCAAGGAATAAGAGGCCAAAGGGCTGACTTGGAAGTGTCATCCTTTTTCACAGTGAGATGCTAAAAGTGCTGATATTTCTTATGCTGAGAGAAGTCAACAAATCCTTCCTTTGGTTGATGATAATGCCAATAATAACATGTATTTGTTCTAATAGGTCACTGGTAGCTTCCAGCTGCTCCCAAATAACAATGGACAGCGAATCCATTGCTACTGCCTGTGACACATCACCACCAACCTGGTCATGTTGTGGGCTCAGTTCAGATATCTAAACATGGGTTTGGTCCTCTTCTGGGCCCTAAAGAGCAAAACCTACATCATCTGGGATGGCTCTCACTTGGAAAGATGTCCCTTGAATATAAACACCATGCCTGGAAGCAGTTCTTTAACCACCTGGAGCCAAAATTACAACTAAAACCCACACGTACAATGACACACTCAATCCAACACAATTTGGGGAACAAATGCCATGCAGCAAAAAACTCTTACCTAGCAGAGTCTTCCGAGGCACATAAACATTGTGCTCTGAGTTGCAAGGTGCAATATGCTACACCTGTTTGCTGCTTTTCCTTGCTGCTCCCCTCCTCTGTGCCTGGGCTGCTTCAGCAGGATTGGTTATCAGGCAGAAGGAGCTTAAGTAAATTACCCTCTGAACTGGACTTTTCAAAAGGAGGAAGTAATAAAATACGGGATGATGGCAACAAGGCATGGATTCTGTACTTGTTCATTGCTTTGTTATGCACTGGGAATTTAATGGTTGAGATGGTGTTTCCCTTGCCAGGATACACTATGATGTTGTTACAGAGCCAAGTTCTTTGGAAGTCTTTGTATGCTAGAGATAAGAAATATGGTGTCTGACTGCTAAAAATATTTTTTTACTCCCTTTATGGTCCCAGGTTTGTTACTATGTCACAAACAAAATTGTTTGTGACATAGTAGATATGTATATAAACTCAACAGGAACAAAGAGTGAATCCTGTGGTTTGTTTGCAGAGGTTTTCAAAAGTTGGTGTCGTCAGTGCAAATTTCCAAAAGTTGGTATGTTACCTGTGTTGGCTCTGTGGCCCTTGATTCTGGAGATCTAGGCAAGTGTTTAATAACCTGAAAATATAGGAATCTAAAGATGCATTTCAATGATTTTTAAGTATTGTCCACAATATTCAACAGGGATTTTTCTAAACCCTCAGAATCCAAGACTATTATGCCAGCATGTTTCAACCATAATTTGGGCTTACAGCCAGGAATTTCACTACAGTCTCTCCACAGACCTCTGTATTCAAAGTAAGATTTTTTTTTTCAGGCTAATATCGCTTATTTTATGAAGTCCTGTAAGAAACTTATCATTTTCCCAGCAGCTACTGAAAGGCCGTGTTCATATGGGCTAGAGCAGGTCACAGAGCCATAGAATCCATACTGAGCTGGAAAGGACTCACAGGGATCACCGAAGTCCAACTCCTGCCCCTGCAGAGGACAGCCCCAAGAATCACACCATGCCTGAGAGCATTGTCCAAATGTTTCCCTCAGGCTTGGTGCTGTTACCACTTCTCTGGAAAAAAACCTTAGATGGGAACGTGTTTTTTGTTTCCAACCCCTTAGTATCAAATTCCTCCACAGCAAACAAGAGCAATTGCTAGGGGAACCAAAGAGTTAAAATTGTCTTGTTTCCATGGCCAGCTCTAAAGATGATACTCAGATTACTCAGATCAGAGAAGATACGCATTTTGAGAGGATTAAAGTACAAAATCTAGCACATGGGAGAGAAGTGGAGCAGAAGAAAGTAGATGGTGTTAAGTGTCTGTATTTCACACATCTAACATTACTAACAGAAGTGCTGCAAACAGTGATGCAACTTCCAGCCTTGTTAAAAAACAACAGGCTTTTCAAGGCTAAGGCCCTCATGCAAAAGTTAGGCAATGCAAACTGATGTTTTCCACACACGGGTCACTTCACCATTGTGCTGGCTGGCTGGGGGCTCCAGTGTGCATGGCACTTTGATTTCTAGGAAACCCCCATGCCAGCCAGAACCTCAGAAATTCTGGGCCAGGGTGGGGAAGGGGAAAAGGGAAGCTTTTGCCCTGAAGAAGCACCAAATGACTCTGTGCTTTCCCTTTCACTTAATGCAATGAAGCAGCTTCTGGTCTGAAAGAAGACTTTAAAAAGTCTTCATTAGCTTTTTTTTTTTTTGGGGGGGGGGAGGGTGTTGCCAGGAAGGGAGCGTACTGAATTGGGAAAATTTCAAAGTTGGCTCATCTCTACACGCAGATGTGACAGGATTGAGCAATTCTGCAAAGTCACATGTGCTTGGGCTCAGTAAAAGCACTTGTGCTTTGTAATCCCCAGGGTTTAGGGAAACTCCAGCAAAATTAGGGAGATGAAATTGCCTCACCATGACCATCTTTCTTGAATAAATTGTATCTTTTTACCTCTGCACTGTTACTGCAGGATGAAAAAAACAGGGTAGGTTTATAGGCGCTTGGATTTTTTGATACATTTTGAGCTTCTATGAACTCTCTTCACTGCTGCTGTAATGCTGCAGGGGCACCTTGGCACGTAAACAACAGCAATCAGGGTGACTGGCATGGGAGCCATTTCCACTCTGAAAGCCGAAACATTAAAGAAGTGAGAGAAGGTTCAGGCCAAGCTTGGTGTCCCTGCTAGGAATCTGCATTGTTGGTGGAAGAATAGGTGCTGCACCCTGTCCTTGTCAGTGAGGAGCAGCCGCAGACTTGCCCAAACTTCCTGCAGAGGTGGCACACTCCTATCTCACCAGATGTGGCACACTCCTATCTGTCCAACCTCCCAGGGAATGCTACATGCTATGGTGATGGGCAAATCTACAAATCCCACGGGTATGGACATGATGAGACTCATCTAGACCAGCCCAAAAGGGAGGAGTTGCTCTCTCCATTCCACCTTTTCATGAATGTTTGCTGTTCATGCTCCCATGGCAAGCCTTTCCCCTTGACTTTCCCAGTCATCCCGCCAATCGTTTGTTTTAGTGGGAGAGTTGCTGCTGAGGCAGGAAGGATCTGGGGAAAGAGCAGGGAGGCTATGAGCCAGGGCAGCCTGGTCACCATTCCAGCCTGGGGAGCAGCAGTGATAGCACCAGAGGGCACCGCTGCCATGGCTGCACCCACTGCTGGGAACAGGATCCCAACTGCAGTGACAGGAGCACACCCAGAGCCCCAGCAAGGACAGGAGCCCCAACAACGTGCCAGCATCACCCAGAGCAAGCACTTCTTCCCTTGCCTCAGCACCCTGGGGAGCAGGGAACTGGAACTGAACGCTGCCATCGCCTCAGTCTCAGTATCCCGGGGGATATTGCAGGAGACCACAGGTCAGGGGAAGGTTTAGGGGTAGTGATTGCACCCCGAAGTACCCCAAACCCACCACCCAGGACCGCACACATGCAGCTCTGTGCAGCTGAGCATGGGCAGAGCACCCAGGCACGCCCGCCTCACCTAAGACCTGCTGCTCTGCGCCGGGAGAGCGACACGGGGAAGGTGACGCCAGGAAGGTGATAACAGGAGGGTGACAGCAGCAGTTTTTAAGGGCAGAGAGGCAGGGTGCTGAGGGCAGTAATGTTTACCAATGCTGTGGCTGCAAGGAAGGGAGGAGCAAAGGCAGGGAGAAACCAGCAGCCACTGACCTGCAGGCAGGGCCACAGAAGACATCTCAGCCCCACCAGAACTGCACTTCCCCACAGGTCCCAGGCAACATCCTGCTGTGTGAGGGGGGGAAGGAAACCAACATGATCCCCACATGCAGTTTTGTCAAAAGCTCCCGCGATCCCATGAGCTGCTGCTGGCAATCCCCCCACCACAGCGGCTGAGGGGTGACACCTGCTTGTCCCAGCCCAAGAAGGGAACAGCAGCCCCAGGGGAACACCTGGGTTGGGATCAGCAGAAACTCAGGACAGTGAGCAGCACCCCATGGCAGGGTCAGGGAGCACATTTTATTTCTCTCCAGCACTTCCAGGGGAGGGAAGGAACGGCAGCAGTGCCACCTCAGCACAGGGCGGATCTCGGGGGCGTCTGGCGGCGTCCCCTCAGATCTGAGTGCGGAAGCACAGGTCGGTGCCTGACATCTTCTGCGCGTAGTCCTGCTCAAAGCGCTCGTTCTGGGCCACGGTGAAGTGGTTCTTCCAGTCCCCGGTGGTGCCTGTGGCCGGGAGAGATGGGGCTCAGCAGGGGCCGGGGCAGGCAGCGCGCCAGGCCCCCGCAGCCGCTCACCTTTGCGCATGAAGGGCGACACGCTCTGGTCCATGAGGTCAGAGGGAATATTGGTGTAGTTGGTGGCAGGGTTGTCCCTCATGGCCTCGAAGGACGTGTGTCGGGTGATGGTGTCCAGCACCGCATCCGACAGCTTCTGCCCCAGGAACTGGGCCACCTTGGCAACCTCCCGACGCAGGTCCTGAGCGACACAGGCCGACACTCACCCCCCCTGCCAACCCCGCACCCCCTCCACACCACCATCCCTCCTGCCCCATCACCTCCTTCAAGTCCTCGTAGAAGAGGTAGAGAATGGGGTGATCCTTCCTGCGCTCCCAGTAGCCCTTGACGTGGTCGTACCAGGAACCATATGCCACTGCATGGGGAGAGCAGCCAGTAGGTGACAGTCCCCTGCAGGGTCCCCTGCATGCACTCAGGGGTGCCCTGTCCCACCTCTGCCAGCCATGAACTTCTCCAGGTACTCGGCCCATGTCCCGGGGTTTGGCAGGAACTTGTTCATCAAATCAAAGTGGTAGTAGGAGACAGCCACGTCCTTGGCGTTGCGTCCCACATAGACCATCTGCAGATGGGCCATGGATGTATGAGGGGCAGCCCCAGGAGCCCCAGCAGGGAGGATGCTCCAGCTCCTAGATCTCCTACGAACACTTAAGATGCTGGAGGTAGCAGTGGGGAGTCCTGTCTCATGGGAACAGGGCTGCTACAATTCCCTCCAAGGCAGGGACAAGGGTAGGGCATTACCTTGCAGTGGTTTTCCCAGAAGGATTTGGGCAGGATATGCGTCGGCAGGTGAGTCTTCACCACGCGGGGGGAGGGCATGGTGGCCAGCAGGTCTGTTCCTGGGGGATCCCGGTGCAATTCCTCAGTGAACTCTTGGCAAAGACCCTTGGGACTCAGCCCCTGTGGGGTACCCCTGCACCTCACTACCTGCTGCCATCTTCCCAGGGGCAGAGAACTCCAGCATGGGCACTCTCTTGCTGATAATGTCCCGCTTGCACTTTTCAGAATCTCCACCTTGCAGGATCATATCCACAATCTCGCTGACCCAGGTGGTGCCTGGGGAAAGAAAACCATGAAGGGGAGCAGCCAGGGCAGCATTGGGTGTCTCAGCACTGACAATCCCTCAGACCTCAACCAGATGCCATGGGGGAAAAGGGAAATCTTACACAACTCTGTCCTGACAGCGCCTAAATGTGCTGCATACACCCAGGCAGTGGGTCTCAGCTGAACAACACACTTGCCTACCCCGTACCAGCACATCTGGTACTGCCTTGAGGATACTCACCGGATTTGGGGTAGGTGACCACCACAATGTCCTCAGGGCGGCTCTGGAAGGTGTCAATCCGTTCCCAGTTGTGGGCAAAGGCATTGACCATGGGGATGCCGTGCACGGTGAGGCAGGGCTGCCGCAGGTAGGGGTCCGAATCGGCCATCCTGCTGGGGACAGGGACGTGGGACAGGGCTGGCTGATGAGGGCAGGTTCCCCTCACCCTCTCAGGGTGGCTGTGAGCCAGGGCAGCCTGGTCAGCTGGCACTGTGCCTGCTCAGGGAGCGGCAGTGATAGCACCAGAGCACAGACCAGAGGTCACCGCAGCCATCGCTGCACACACTGCTGGGAACAGGGATCCCAGCTGTGGGGACAGGAGCACACCCAGAGCCCCAGCAAGGACAGGGGTGCCCACAGCGTGCCAGTATCACCCAGACCCAGGGACTAGACTAGAACAGCACCTCTTCCCTTGCCTCAGCACCCCTGGAGAGCAGGGAATTGGGTCCCTGGGGATATTGCAGGAGACCACAGGTCAGGGGAAGGTTTAGGGCTGCTGATTGCACACAAACACAAAATGCCCCAAACCCACCACCCTGGACCCTGCAGCATGCAGCTCTGTGCAGCTGAGCATGGGTAGAGCACCCCAGGACACCCATCTCACCTCAGACCTGCTGCTCTGTGCCGGGAGGGTGACACCAGGACGGTGACTCCAGGAGGGTGACAGCAGAGGACAGGGAGACTCGGGGCCTCCCTCGGTAATAGCAGGAAGGAGAAGGAAAGAGGCAGGGCGCTGAGGGCAGTAATGTTTGCCAGCCCAGCAGATGTGGAAAGGGAGGAGCAAAGGCAGGGAGAAACCAGCAGCCACTGACCTGCAGGCAGGGCCACAGAGGACATCTCAGCCCCACAGGTCCCAGGCAACATCCTGCTGTGTGAGGGGAAGTAGGACACCTCTCACTGCCCACACCCACCCAGCATGCTCCGCATACACAGATTTGCTAAAACCTCCCACGACCCCATGAGCTGCTGCTGGCAATCCCCCCACCACAGCGGCTGAGGGGTGACACCTGCTTGTCCCAGCCCAAGAAGGGAACAGCAGCCCCAGGGGAACACCTGGGTTGGGATCAGCAGAAACTCAGGACAGTGAGCAGCACCCCATGGCAGGGTCAGGGAGCACATTTTATTTCTCTCCAGCACTTCCAGGGGAGGGAAGGAACGGCAGCAGTGCCACCTCAGCACAGGGCGGATCTGGGGGGGCGTCTGGCAGCGTCCCCTCAGATCTGAGTGCGGAAGCACAGGTCGGTGCCTGACATCTTCTGCGCGTAGTCCTGCTCAAAGCGCTCGTTCTGGGCCACGGTGAAGTGGTTCTTCCAGTCCCCGGTGGTGCCTGTGGCCGGGAGAGATGGGGCTCAGCAGGGGCCGGGGCAGGCAGCGCGCCAGGCCCCCGCAGCCGCTCACCTTTGCGCATGAAGGGCGACACGCTCTGGTCCATGAGGTCAGAGGGAATATTGGTGTAGTTGGTGGCAGGGTTGTCCCTCATGGCCTCGAAGGACGTGTGTCGGGTGATGGTGTCCAGCACCGCATCCGACAGCTTCTGCCCCAGGAACTGGGCCACCTTGGCAACCTCCCGACGCAGGTCCTGAGCGACACAGGCCGACACTCACCCCCCCTGCCAACCCCGCACCCCCTCCACACCACCATCCCTCCTGCCCCATCACCTCCTTCAAGTCCTCGTAGAAGAGGTAGAGAATGGGGTGATCCTTCCTGCGCTCCCAGTAGCCCTTGACGTGGTCGTACCAGGAACCATATGCCACTGCATGGGGAGAGCAGCCAGTAGGTGACAGTCCCCTGCAGGGTCCCCTGCATGCACTCAGGGGTGCCCTGTCCCACCTCTGCCAGCCATGAACTTCTCCAGGTACTCGGCCCATGTCCCGGGGTGAGGGTGGAACTTGTTCATCAAATCAAAGTGGTAGTAGGAGACAGCCACGTCCTTGGCGTTGCGTCCCACATAGACCATCTGCAGAAAGCTTGGTGGCATGTGGGGACTTGCAAGGTCCGAACAGGGCAGGGTGCTCCCTTATGGGGGCTGGATCCCTCCAGGTAGGTTCACTCCAGCCTGTTACCTTGCAGCGGTTTTCCCAGAAGGATTTGGGCAAGATGTGAGCTGGGATGTGGGTCTTGATGATGCGAGGGGATGGCATGGCCTCCAGCTGCTTTGTGCCTGTAAGGATTTCCCCCAGAAGTGATCCCACTCTGGTGCCCCCCCATACGAAAACAAACTGTCCCCATGCAGCACCCATTGCCGCCCACCACCCTCTGCCACCCCACTACCTGGTGGTAACTTCCCAGGAGCAGCAAACTCCATCATGGGCACCCGCTCCCAAATGACATCCTGCTTGCACTTTTCCGGGTCACCGCCTTTCAGGACCATGTCCATGATCTCACTGACCCAGGTGGTGCCTGGTGGGGAGAGGTTGGGTGTCCAGCTGGTGCCATTCCCACTCAAGACCCATCTCGGGCACCAGAGGGTCACCATCTACCAGTGTTGCCTTTTGGCACACCCCTGGTCCCAGCCCAGGCACCGGCAGCATGGGCTCCCTCCCTGAGCCTGGCCCTCCTTTGGTGCCTGGGCACGCTCACCGGATTTGGGGTAGGTGACCACCACAATGTCCTCAGGGCGGCTCTGGAAGGTGTCAATCCGTTCCCAGTTGTGGGCAAAGGCATTGACCATGGGGATGCCGTGCACGGTCAGCCAGGGCTGCCGCAGGTAGGGGTCCGAATCGGCCATCCTGCTGGGGACAGGGACGTGGAACAGGGATATGGCTGGCAGTGAGGAGCATCATGGGGCCATCTCCTTCCCTAGGTGCCCCAAAATCCCTGCTGTATCCAGCCATCCTGGCCTTAGGAGGGAAACCATGCCCTGCTTGCTGGCATTGCAGGAGGTGGCACCTGAATTCTGTGGGGGTTTTTGGGTGCAGGTGGCAGTGCAGGGAGAGTGGAAGGGCATGGCCAGCTCTGGGGGTTCAGGTCAGACAGGCAGTGGGCAGCTGCCCACACCAAGCTGGCAGCGCTGTTCCTGGATGTAAAAACTCTCAGGGGCACTCCTGGCTGGAGCTGCAGGCTGCTTTTCTCTTTGCTTTTTCCTCCCCATCTCCCTGTCGTACGGCAGCACGGGAGGAAGCCTTGCTTTCAGGGGGCTTGAGTGAGGGTTTGACAGTCACAGGAACGAGGAGCAGAACTCAGAACTCACTCCCTAGGAAGCCTTTCCACCCACGGCTCAGGACAGAAACGCTGGACATGCCAGCGGCAAAACCCCCGCGCTGTGATTTCTGGATTTTTGGAGACAAACTTGGTGTCTTGCTCCCACCTCCCGGGGGCTTATGGGGACACGGGAGCCCCCGCACCCACCCCCGCTGGCCCCCGGCTTATGAGGCCAGGGCACCCCGAATCGCCGTGCCCAAAGTCCCCCGGCTACTTGCCTCTTTTCCGGGCGCTCTGGCAGGGAGGAGGCAAAGCTCGGCCCGCCGCTTGCGGGGCGGGATTTGTTATTTTCCTTCCCCTGCCCGGAAGATGGAGGCGCCGGGGGGCACCGCTGGGACAGGAGCCGGACAGACCCGGTCCCGGTGCTGCGGTGGGAGGAGTGCGGGGAAGGGGCGAGCGGGGATGGGGACGGTCCCCAAATGCCTGTGATGAGCTGTCCGCGCTCAGCGCCCGTCGGGACGCACACGGGCAGCGGGAGTGGAAATCACAGCTTCCCTCTCCACCCGCTGAAGTAAACAAAGGGAGGAAATCCCGACCCACATCCCGGGAGATTGAACATCACCCTGTCCCGGTCCAAGAGTCACCTGCGTGGACGTCCCCAGCTCCTCACACCGACGTGGGGCTTGCGAGCGGGATGTGGGGTTCAGGCTTTGGTTGTACCCCTACTCCACTCAAATACGGGTCCGAAGTTTGCGGGGTTGCAAAGCACATGTGCTCCTGGGAAAAGTGTTTAAGGGTGCCGATGGGGGGGAAATGTTCTTCCTTACCTTAGCTGGGAGGGAGTGGGAAGGGCAGGAGAGATGGCAGCTGGGCAGAGTCAGCAGCTCAACTGTTGGCAGCCTTGAGATAAACGTCCCTGATTTATCTCCAGGGCCAAGTTCCTGGTAAGATGAGGCATGCCATGGCAGGTGTTCAGGTGTTTTGCTGTCCACGTGCCGGCAAAATTGGCTGCATGTGCAAAGCCAGGAGCTGGGTAAGCACATCTTCCAGTAGAAGGCATCATGGCATTTACATGAACGTGTGAAAAGGATTTATTTCTGTGAGGCAGGTCCCCTCATAGCGCTGCTGGTCTTTAGCAGTTGGATCTGGGCTGCATCTCTTTCAGGATAGAACAATCTCATGAGGCTATCTTGCCAAGAAGCTGCAGTCTTAGAAACTGAAGAACTGGCCAGAAATGGGGTGTAAATGGGGAACTTGGGACTGCAAAGCACACCCTTCCCCCAGTGGGACAGGGACTGGTTTGCTCCAGGCATCCCAGAGCAAGGGCAAGGTGCACCCAGGTTGAAAGGTGTGTTCTTTATTCAGCAAGGACAGTGATGTTGCTGAGCCTGGCCACACAGCAGCAGGGAGCTGTTTCCCTTCACCTTTGTTCCCACAGACCATGGGCTGCCAAGCTCCAGCTGGGCCAAGGAGAGCCTGACCACCACCCACTCTGTCAAGAAACCTGCCCCAACCCAGAGGCAGGAAAGCTCCTGTGCACGCAAGGGCTGCGGCAGCACTGGATTCGCTGGTGCTCTGGGGATTTTCCACTCATCATCGATCTTTGTTCCCTCCAGGCACCTTGGTAGGCTGGGGCAGCCCAAGCTGGCAGGGGCCAGTGGTGGTTTCTGGGAAGGTGCCTACTCCTGGTGATGCCTGACCATCACTAAAAATCCACTGTGTGCCCACCCTCTCTTCTGATGACCATGAAGGTGTTCCCAGACACTCCCTAGAGTTCAGGGGGTCCAAGCCCCACTCTCATTTTCCCTGAAGGCAATGACTCAACCTCCATTTATCACAATTTATTGCAAGGGGAAAAGTGAATTAGTGCAAGAATCTCCCTCTGGATCCATCCTCTCCACTGGGAGAGCAAGGGGAAGCACAGTCCTCCTGGGAAAGGAGATAAGCCCCTCACACTTCCATCTGGAAGTGGAGGTCAGAGCCTGCCATGAGCTCTTGGTAGTGCTGGTCAAAGCGCTCGTTCTGGGCCACAGTGAAGTGGTTCTTCCAGTCTCCAGAGACCCCTGGGGGCAAGAAAACAACTGGGGTAAATCCTCACACACATGACATATTTGCAGCCACAGATGCGGGCTCAGACACAATCCAGGGACATCCCTCCCAAATCCTCCACCACCAAACCCCCAGCTGAACCCCCACCTTTCCGGAGGAAGGGGGAGATGCTGTGATCCATCAAGATGGGGAGCACGGTCTCATAGTTGGCAGCAGGGTTCTTCTTCATCTCCTGGAAGGAGGTGTGGTGCAGAATCTTATCCACTATTCCCTCTGCCAACTCCTTGCCCAGGAACTGCAAGATCTTCTGCACTTCTTGCCGTGGGTCCTGCAGGGTGACTGACATGAGCAGGCTGCCAAAAAGCTGGGGAGCAACCAGGGCTCCTTCCCCTACATCCCACCCTCACCTTTTTCATGTCCTCATAGAAGAGGTAGAGTATCTTCTTGTCCTGCTTCTTCTCCCACCATCCGCGCACGTGGTCGTACCAGGATCCATAGGGCACTGTGGAATATGATCAAGGGATTAGCTGGAAAGAGGAGTAGCGGGGGATGTCCTTCCCACAGGTGGCTCAGCTCACACCTTTGCCAGCCATGAAGTTCTCCAAGAACTCAGCCTTCGTGCCAGGGTCCTGGTGTATCTTGGCCATCCGGTGGAAGTAGTAGTAGGAGATGGCAACATCCTTGGGGTTGCGGGCCATGTAGATAATCTGGAGAGAGCCAAGGATGTGTTTGGGAGGTAGAGAGTGGTGCCTCCTCCCCACCAACCCAGAGTGGAGACAGGGAGCACCTGCCACGTTACCTTGCAGTCCTTCTCCCAGAAGGAGGTCGGGAGGAGCTGGACTGGGAGATGGGTCTTTACCAGCCGCGGGGATGGGGTGCTCTCCAGCTGCTCAATACCTGTGGCACAGGGGACTTAGAGGTGTGAGCCCCAGCACCCTCACCCCCAAGCTGGCTCTGTTCCCTCTCCACCCAAGCCAGGCAGCCGGGGTGGGGAAACTCACCACTCATTTCCCCAGGGGCCTTCAACTCCAGGAAGGGCACGCGGTTGTAGATGGCATCCCGTCGGCACTTCTCCACATCGCCGTCGTGGTAGATCATGTCCATGATCTCGCTCAGCCACGTTGTGCCTGCCACACAGGGACAGCATTGCAAAGGCTGGTGTCACCCCATCCCCCTGCACCCTTCCCCAGGACCACTCACCCGATTTGGGGTAGGTGGAGATGAGCAGGTCATCTGGACGGGCTTGGAAAGCCTTCACCCGTGGCCAGCCCTCGATGAAGCTCTTGTAGAGGGGGATGCCATGGAGGCTTCCCAGCTCCTGCACAATTTCAGCTTCCTGCTCCATGGCTGACAGTGGGTCCACACAGCACTGGCTGTCTTCCCTGCTGGCAGCCTCCACAACCTCCCAACTGGCTGGCACCTATGCCAGGACTGTGCCTGGGGCAGTACTGGGTTTTGTGCTAGGATTGTGCCTGGGGCAGTGCCCCATCAGGCAAAGTCCAGCCCAATACACGTGGCAGAGGAACTGCCAGTGCCACTGGAGCATGCCCTGATCCCTGGTAGGATACTTCGGTAACGTGGATGCTGGCCAGGCACTAAACCCAAGCCATGAGGGGTCAGGAATGGAGGCCAGCATCACCTCTCCTCCCACCTCTCTGCACTTCTCCCCCAGCCACAGCCCCTTTAATGAGTGCCATGGGGTTGTGGAAGTGCAGAGACAGCTCTGCCACCCAGGGCCCCCACACCTCTCAGGATTCCACGTGCTCTGGTGCCCAGGAGCTCTGGCAGCTCCACCCTCCTGCCACACCCAAGCTGTAAAGGTTCAGGAGACGGAGCACAGCTATGGACCTGGCTGAGGGTGCTGCAAGCAGAGGGAATCCTCCTTTCTGCCCTCCTGAGTGCTCCTTTGATGTCTCTTGTAGGAAAGGGCTGCATAGGCTGTTCTGCTCCATCCTGGATGATCTGATCCAGCAGGTTGTGCAGTACAGGAACCCACCATGATGGAGCAGGTGCTGCTCTCGCTCCAGGAGGAGATCAAGGAGAAGCAGAAGCCAAGTGGTGCCTGGCGCAGGCCAGGTCAGTGGGGTCTCTGGGAAAGGAGGCACGAGTGCAGGACAGAGCATCTGGACCATTTGCAGAAATACAGTCTCACAATTCTGACCTTCTGTATCCAATGAGGGAGTTGGAAGACAGTAAATGGGTCTGTTACCCTGACAAAAAAATACATGTAACATTTTCATCTGATGATAAGGAAATAACATTACGACCTTTACTTAAAATTGAAATACAGATGGTGGACAGGGTCAGCAAACTGCTACCAAAATGGTGCCATAAATGGTGACCATTATTGAAGTGAAGGGGAGAACGACCATCCTGGTAATGCATCGAAGTCCAACTTTATTGATCAATCAATCACCTTAAATAACAGTGCTAACGAACGCCATGAATATTCTGTAATCCAATGTCATGATAGGCTAACAGAGAAATTTCTAACCACTCCCTTTGTTTTAGAATACCTACAATTGTTTATTAAAGACAGAAACCAAAACAGAAACCAGAAACTAAAACAGAAACTAGTGTTCCCAAAACCTCTACATCTGTTCTCAGGATAACAGGCCTTCCCAAGGATGGTGTTCTGCTTGCCATGGGAAGACAAGCTGAGAACTTTATTGTTTATAGAATGATGCCTGAGAGAGTCTAATTGTTTATACAAATCAGAAGGCTGAGAACTGTTAGAAACGGCCTTACTTTTCCCTTATACTTTTCTCTCAATTTTATGTCTCATGGCCTTTTCTTTAGGTCATTCTCCGACAGACCATGATATCAAAGTTCCAGGAAAAGTGTGGCAGACTTACATGGGATGGAAACATACAGGGTGATCCTCATGACAGAGAATCGGGAAAAGATGATTTCTTATCATCAATTCCCCCTGAATCTACTAGACCTGAGGGTGGAGAGGAAAACCACACACAAATAACTATTCCATTTAATCCAATTCAGGTGGCTGATTTGCAAGAGAATTTTGGCCATAAACCAGGTGATATTGAAATCCAGCAACTGGAATCCTATCAGTGCAGACACAATAATGGCCCATACATTCAGATTCCAGTATCTCATCAATAATTAGTTGCTAACATCATTGAAACTCTCCAGGACAACGTCTCTTTGGCTCTTGGTTGTATTCAAGCCAGTTGTGGGTGCAGTATGTGACAGGCGCTATCACATGGAGAGGTGAAGACAGTGCTCCCTTCCCCTTAAGGGGGGATGGCACAGTGGGCTGCAATGTCCCCCCACCTCCAGCACACAGCGAGATCCCCCAGCACAGCCAGAGACCCACCATGGCTGAAGCCCAGTGCCCAGCATCCCTCCTCAGGTGCTCCAGCTTTACTGGTGCAGTTACAAGGGAAAGCACTTTGGGGTCTGGCCCTGTGACAGCCCCTCTGCACAGCGTGACAGTGCCCAGCCTGTTCCCAGCACAGTGGTGTAAGAGCTGTGCACACCAGCTCCTGGCTCCCTGGATTTCCCAGCACCCAGAAACTGCTAGGGTAGGACCCTGCTCCCCACTGCACCCTGCAGAGCTGGGTAGGTGGGTGCCAGCTCCTGCCACCTCCCAGGGTGTCACACAGGTCCCCTGGCCCCAAGCAGCACCATCTAGGGACAAGCACCCTGCTGTGCCAGGCACAAGGCTACATCCTGCCCCACTGCCTGTTCATTTAATGCCCCACACAGAGACCCCAATGCCTCATGGCAGGGTGCACACCCCTGCTCGACCTTGCATGCCCCACAGTGCCCAGCTGGGATAACCACAATCCAGGGTCCCTCTTTTAGCGTCCATTCATGGCCACATGCAGCCTCCACTCGCTGTCATGTGCATGTGGAGTGGTGCAGGAGCGCAGTGCAGGAACTTGGCACTGTCCCAGCTCCAGGTGGATTTATGGGGATGACTATTAGCATTCCCATGATGGCGTTAGGGAAAAAATGGATTAAAACCCTCCTCTTAGCTGGCTCATTGCTCTTTATACTGGAACTAATTTTCTCATCCATCCCACTGGGGCTTGGTGACCATCTCAGATCCCTCCCTTTTCTCTCATCCCTCAAAATATCTGGGGGTGGTAGGCAGGAATGCCATCTGTGGCTCAGCGGGACACTTTGAGCCCCAGGTCTCGGTCCATTGCCTGGAGGAAACGTTCATTGAGGAAAAGCATCTGCCCGTGGGGCAGGAGACGGTCCAGGAGGCCATCGGCGGCATCAGGTCGGAGCAGGACGTCAGCGCCGGGGCTGAGGAGGCGCAGGGAGAGCAGCAGGCGGGGAGCCAGGCGCCTCAGGGTGATCTCAGCCAAGGACAGATTCTCCTGGGGCTCACAAACCAAGGCGAAGGCGAGGGCCAGCACCGATAACCAGACTACTGTCACCCGCTCAGGGAATGGGTCTCCGGGGGGCATCTGGAAAACACCCCCTGGAGCATCTTGGAGGGACACCTGCTCATCGGGTAGCTGGGGAAGCTGTGGCGAGGACGGGCGCCCCAAGGACGCCTGAAGCAGTTGGCACTGGGAGGCCACTTGCCTGGAAGAGAAAAGGGGGACACTCGTGTTAAGGACTCGCACCTCATCCAGGGACAGTGATCCCTCTGTGGGGGAACAGGGTCCCAGGGGTCCTGCCGGGCCCAGGATCCCCAAAAGGGTGGATCCCATGAATGATCCCTGGGGCTCTCGCTGAGCCCTGTTCTCCGCAAGGGGAGCTGCCACAGGCTCTGCTCAGGAACGGAAGGTGTCCCACAGTCAAGGGGTGGGTGTCCCAGCCCTGGGGGTCAGGCAATGCCCAAGAGCCCTCCCATCAAACAAAGTGGGCATATCACGGCTGTGGGGATCCCAGGGAGAGCGAGCAGGTGTCCCAGGTCCAGAGGGTTCAGGAGACGGCGGGCACACGGCGCCGGCTGTCCCAGCAGCATGCGCAGCAAGGGGATTCCCGCGGGGGCGGGTGTCCGCGTGTACCTGGCCACGACCAGCAGCTGCTCCTTGCGGCGGAGGCGCTGCCGGGGCCCCCCGGGGGCGGCGCCGGGGGGGGTCCCGAAGGTGCGCGCGTACAGCACGCGGCAGGGGGCGGGCCCGCCCGGCGCCAGCAGCACGAACGCCCGCACCATGGCGGCCGCACGGCCCCGGCGCGCCGGAAGCGGCGGCCCTGGCCCGGAACGAGCGGCCCTCGCGGTGGGTGGGGGGGCGGGGCGTCCCGCCGTGCAGGTCATGATTGGCCAAGGCTCGGGGGCAGCGAGAGCTGATTGGCGGGCAAAGGCCGGTGGGCGGGGGAAGGGCGCGCGGCCGAGGCGAAGGCACTGTCCCTTCATGAGGGAGTCCTGGCAGCTCCTCCGCAGCCATCCCTGCTCCTGTCCGTGTTCCCCTCCCGGGGTGTCTCCGTGGGTACGGCCACGGAATGCAGCACGGGGTCTGTGGCTCTAAGTGGTAGCACAGCACAGTTTTGAGATCTAAATGCGGGAGGAAGTGTGTCCATGGGCATGGGGTGGACACGGCTGGGAGAGGACATGGGGGTAAATGTGGCTTGAGGTGGCTCAGGGGAACATGGCCAGGGCCAGCATGGAAAGGTGCTTGTCTTGTGTGCGGCATATGGACGAGTGTGTGGCTGTCACTGGGGACATGGAGGGGCCTATGGCCAGAGGGACCATGGAGAGGGACATGTCTGCGTGGAGGCATGAGACTCTTCCATGAGACCTTTCCAGCCACGGAAAACTTGTTTTCTGCCTTAAGTGGCTTCAGTGGCAAAGCTGATTTTTGACAAATTCTTTGTGGCTGTGGCTGGTTATTCATGGGTTGAAGGAGTGGGAGGGTGTGAGGGTCTTGCTGCCGTGTTCAGGGCATGTTGGGGAGGTGATAACCCAGCTATGGTGTCCATATTCAAACTACGGTGTCATTTTCCAGCTACGGTATGCAGACCAGGCATGGTGTCTGAAAGGAATAAGATGAATGTGTCTTTACGAACAGACCATGTGAATGTGCTTGTAGATAGAGCTAGGAACTTTAATAGATAGAGAAGTAACAGAAGAAACTAATAGTTCTAGAAAATGTTACTAATCAACACGGACTGTTGCTTAGCCAAGGCCGTGTGAAATTCCTGAACCTAGAGAAAAAGAACCAAGACTTAATAGAATTATGAATACCTTTATTTTTCTTCTTTCCTTTATATATCAAAAGGGGGATGCCTGCCAGAGGGGGGTGTAGAGTAGGCAATTTGGGAAGTCTGTACCTTCCGAGTACTTCAGCCAATGGGGAGGAGGAGGAGGGTTATGTGGCCAGGAACTTAGGATAAAAGGGGGCTGAGTCTCCCAGCAGTCTGAGACCCGATAGGAAATTTCCATAGCCTCTCCCTTTTGGACACAAACCTCTGACAGGGTGGATTCATGTTCCTAACAGTGTCCCTCCCGGAGCTGACTCCCAGGACTTTCCTCAGGCAGTGTTGCTGTGTCCATCCCAGTGCAGCGCCTGGCTGGCTGCGGGCCGGGCGCTGCCGCTGCCGCCCCGGGACTGCGGGGTTGTGCCGCGGCCGCCAGGCGGCGCCGGTGCGGGGCAGGGGCGCGCCGCCGCCGCCGCTCCGCACAGTGCCCGCCAGGGGGCGCCGCCGCCCGGGGCCGCGGGGATCCTGAGGGGCCCTTCCCGCGAGTCCCGTCCCAGGTCAGCCCTCCGGCAACCCCTCCGGCCACCAGGCCTCACGTGGTTTCTTCTCCCCGGCTCTTTCCCAGAGCCACTGCCGGCAGGACGAGCCCTTCGGCCCCGCGCTGGCTCTGCTGTAACGCGGCAGAACAGCTCGAACTGGCCGCTCCTGTAGCCGCTCGTGCCCGAGCGAGCCGCGCCAGGTGTGGATCTGGATCCCCCGGGAAGACGCCGGGATGCCTGCACCGAGGAGGAGGCTGCTGCTGCTGCCTGCCCTCAGCACGGCCCTGCCAGCGCCCAGCCGGCTCAGCCCTCACAGAGATGCTGCGGGGAGCTGGCGGCTGCAGCTCCTTTGTGAGTCCCGTTAGTTTGCGTCTCCAGCTCGGGGAAGGCTCTCTCTAGTTTCTGCTTCACCTCCTTTGCAGCTTCAGGTGATTTGCTTCTGTCCCCAGTTTGTCTCAGGTTCAGCTCATAGAGTTTGTTCGTGCCTCCAGCATGTTTCAGACTCCAATTTGGTTTCACCTTCCCTGGCTTCTTTCCTGCTTCAGCTTATTTGCAGCTCCAGTTTGTTTCCATGTTCTGTGGCGCTCCAGTTCATTTCTGCTCTGGCTCATTACTGCTTGTGCTTGTTCAAATGCTCTTGGTTTTTGACAGGGCCACAAATCAATCACTATCATAACTTAAACATGAACTGACATATTTGTACGTTGTCTAAAGATGGACTAAACTTCTTGGACCGATGCAAGTGGACCTTCAGCCTCCAGTGGGATTCCCCACAGGTGCCCCAATACCGATTCCCACAAAAATCCACAAATGTCAGAAGTTTGTGTCCATAAAGGAGATAGAGGAGTCCTGCAAGTTTATTCTAATAAAGGCAGGGAGTCCCACACAAGCCCCCGGGGTTTTCTCTCTCGAGGTTTCAGAGGGTGCAGCCTCTATCCTCAACTCCCAGCCGCAGTTGCCCTCTTCCTTTCTTCATTGGCTGAGGTACTCAGAAGGTACAGCCTTCCCGAGCCGCCTACAACCTATCCCCCCTTGTACCTACTGTTTTACCCCAAAGTTCAGAAGTTCAGGTTTGTGCAGACCCACTTGTGTGTTCCAGGAGCCAAGCTGTCTGGTCTCTGCAACAAACCTGCTGCCTAAAGTTACTACAGACATAAAGACCCTTTTCAAAGACGTTAATGCCAATACTGTCACTCATCAAATTGGTTGTAAAGACATGAGCTTTCCTCTCACCACCTTGATGAATAATGGGAGTGAAGTTCCAAACAAGGTAAAGAACAAAGTGGTTAAGCAATGGAAGCAATAATCACAGGAATATGGAAGAGAGAAAATTGATGGCATAAGTTCTTGAAGGGGAAAACCACAGAAAGATAACACCCTTCTAATCCAGGATGTGTAATGATGAACTAAAAAATCCCCGGTTTTTACTGCTTCTGTAGTGAGAACTTGCCCTAGCGATGAACTTTTGCTCCTTATAATAGTAAAAACCCCACCCCAGCTCAGGCATCTCCCTCTACAAAAGGACTACTACTCACCAAGCATGGGCTATGATTTCTTGGGACATAATGGCTTTAATCTGAGGTAGAGAAAGGATGAGCGAATAACAACTTAAGCCAAGTAGTGACTTAAGTAAGACTTAACAGCCCAAGTTTGTGCCTCGGGGTGCTGGCTCTGAGATGTACCACCCAGCACCTCTTTCTGTGCAGAACAGTAAATATAATTACGTGGTTAGAGAAATCTCCTTTTTTACAGTGACTGAGTTTGGTGGAGTATCTGATCAGGTGTGTTAACCTATAGTAGCTCTCACCCTTTTCACCGCACTGTTAATTCTCTCAGTAATTTTCATACAGGGAGATGATCCAAGAAATGTTTGCACATTGTTCTAGGAGGGAAGAAACATTTCCATTGAAAATAGAGCCCTGTGGCCTCAGACTGTGTTCAGTAGCTGGTGCTATATCAAATTATTTTTCCTTCTTGTCATTACCATCCATTCTTACCTGCTACAAGATAACTGCTACACCCTCCAGCAATATCAGGGACCTATAGGGCAAGTCAGTTCAGCTCTAGGTAGTTTCAAGGTAGTTTATGTTGTGATGACTTCCTTGGTGTTGTTCTTTCAAGCATTATATGCCAGCCTTATGCAGAATCCACTACATGAAGGGGCTACAAGACGGCTGAAGAGGGGCTTTGGACAAGGGCATGGAGTGATAGGACAGGGGGAATGCCTTCAAACTGACAGAAGGCAGGTATAGATTATATAGCAGGAAAAAATTCTTCCCCGTGACGGTGTCGAGGCACTGGAACATCCCTGGAAGTGTTCAAGACCAAGCTGGGTGCTGCTTTGAGCAACCTGCTGTAGTGGCCCTGTCCATGGCAGGGGGGTTGGAACTAGATGATCTTTGAGGTGCCTTCCAACCCAAGCCATTCTATAATGCTAAGATACAAACAGGTCTGGTTCTGGTTTTTGGGGGCTGTGCTTGTGCAGTTGTGCTTTCCTTCTCCTATACCCAAGCTAGATGTTTTTCCTTCCGTCTAAAATAAAAAACAAAAACAGTAGGCTGAAGCAAAATTAAACAGAAAGAGAGGAATTAATCACTCCCCTATTTAGAACAGGATGAGGATTATAAAAAGCGCCAAAGAACAAAACAAACAAATGAGCAGCCAAACCCCAAAGCACGGAAGGATGTTTTGGTACTAACCTTGCTGGTGCAGCTGCTAACATAAATGTTTTCTGACACAAGTGCATGTCATGAACCAATGTGTAACAGTTAACCCATGGAGGCTTGTGTACTCAGAGCAAGGCTGGGGTGGTGATTTCTTTGGGCTGCACTGATTTCAGGTGGATTTTGCAATTCTGCTTTGCTTCACTTCTGAAAAAAATCAGAAATGCCTTCATGAAGTCTGGCAGAGAGCTGATGGCATTGGAGTGGCTGGAACTGGAGAAATCTAGAAAAACCTGAGCTTCCTAGTGCTGCAAGGCTTAGTTTGGCAAGTGAAAGGAAATTCATTTGCATTCTCACAGTCCAGCCTCTTGATCAGGGAAAAGAATTTCCAGTGGCTCTCTGAAACTACCTCTTACTAAACAAATAACCAGCTCCAAAGTGAAGTTCTTGATTCAAAATAATGTAGTTCGCCATTTACTGAACAAAGTGCTCTTATCTGCCTTTTAAGGGGAAAACTACTTTATGAGAATAGAAATCCTCTTAGGTCATCAACCTGTACCCTGAAGCAGCTTTTCTTGCATTCTCTTTCCTCCTCACTGTTGGGTTTGTTGGGTTATTTTAAATTTACAGTTACTGTCACATTTACAGTGGAGATGTGTGCAGCAGGTTGAGTAAGCTGCCTCCCTCAAAATGAGCACATTTACACTGTGCTGTTTGATTTCTTGGTGAAAATCATATCTGTGGAGGGACAGAATGTAAGAAAATGAAGATAGTGCAGAAGGTAGTCTCATACCTGAGGAGCTGCAGCTGTACTA